TCTCTTGAGTTGATCTCACTGACTGGTTAATCACTGAGTATCTTTCCTCTGCTGTCATTAATTCCCTAATGTTGCCATCCTTCAGAGATATGTCTTGCTAATAACTTTTCTGGCTTTCCACATTAATGAAATGCTGCCACACACAAGGACTGTGGTACTGTGTCTGTAGGAGCGTGATGTACAAACATGAAGCATTTATCTCCTTAAAGGACAGGTGAAAGGGGAGGAAAGACTAAAAGGTGTATTTAGCAGGGTCTGCTCTTATCTTAGGATTCCCCTGTGCCTTGCTACTAGGAGTGAAAGTTCTGGGCATGAAAGTCTACAGAAGGGAAAAAGGCCCATGCATGTAAATCCCATCATGCAGAAATCATCAATAGAAGAGAAAAACATTTTAAATAAGGAAGGAAATATTAAGCATTCTGGTAGCTCTATTATGGTGATTTATTTGTATGCAAGACTGCTGAAATTATACTTTGAAATAAAACTGCAGATGGTTGTTTTGTTCTTCCCTTTTATTAAATGTTTTAAATTTGCTGCCCTCATGTGGCTGCATACTATACTTTCTCTGCTGAAATTCCCAATGGACAGGATTCCTTAGGACAACTGTACTTGCAGCAGTGTTTATACACCAGATGGACAGTTCAGGCACTGAACTGGTGCCCTCTGGCTGAGTCAAGAATCTCAAGAAATGTGGCTGGGAGTCCCTGTGAATACATTTGCTGCCTTTTAACTCTGGAGGGCCAGGACTGCCCTGGGTGTTAGGAATCTGATGCCCAAATTCTGTCTGGAGAAAACTGCCTTTGCAGCTGTCAGAAGGTGCTAAAGGCTCCCTCTGAACCAGGTAATGTGTATCCCCAGCTGGCCAGGTGGGTCCATGTAAAAGGGATACCCAGTATTTCCAAGCATCTTTCAGCTTGGGGTATGAGACAAACCAGAAAACTGAACACAAGGGCATGAGTTATAGGAAGAACACAGATAAAATGGTACAAAAGCAACATAAAATGAATAAAAATAACCCAGCAAAATCCGGTTTAAGGTTGCTTTTGGGGTTTTTGTTGTAGCTGTTACTCTTTGGTGTGTGGACAGTTGCTGGGTATATGAGCATAAATAATGGGGTTTTTTTCAAGGAATGCATGTTCTAATTGCATGATAACCTATATTGAATTATTACCATTTAATGTTGCCATTAAAACACATTATAATATTTCATTACATAGCGTTTTAGTTGCCCAGATACCTACCAGAACTAAGTGGTTGGAGCAAAAGTTTAATGAATAAAACTGTAAAGACACCACCCATTGGGATAAGTTACTTAAAAAATAAAGACTTACTCATTGGTAATTTATAAAGCAAATTGCAAAACTGAATTTTTAAAAATTGAAATACAGAGTTTAAATTACAGTATTGCTTCTACAGAAATAACCTGTGCAGAAATGCAAGATATAGAATGATAGATACATTGGGCTTTCAAGGCTTCTATTTTAGTAGGAAGCTGAACACTGAATTCAGCTACATTTCACATCTTTCTTGGACCCTATAGATTTCAGTGTATACATATGACTTTACAGAGAATTAAAAAAAAAAAATGTAAATCATGTTCAGGGTTGACTTTGATACAGAAATTGAGGAGCCTGTTTTTAGACCATCAGAGATAAAAAATGCTTTCCAACAAAAATCTAGTTACCTAGTTTGTATGCAAGGGAAAACACAGTCAAAATAAATATAAGAATACAGTATGCCGTATATCTGAACAGTGCTCAGATATCCTGCTCTTAGCATGAATTATTTGTATTTGCTCCCCTTGCTGCTAGCATCAAAGTCTTAAAAAAAAAAAAAAAAGGGACAGCAGCAAATAAAACAAAGATTGAAGATGATGCCTAGAGAGCTATAACTCAGAAAGCAGAAGCAAGGTGCACTGCCGTCTGCCAGACAAAAAGCAGATGAGCATCCTTCCACTAGGAAGGACGTAATGTCACTTAAAAGATCAGTGCTGACTGTGGATTCCAGGCAGTTGCAATGGATTGTTTGCTTGCTTGGATACTGCTTCTGATCAGGAGAGGTTTATAAGTTAATTGGATCAGACTTAATATCTCAGATATTCATATAACCATAGAATGGTTTGGGTTGGACCTTACAGATCATTTACTTCCAAACTCCCTGCCATGGGCAGGGACACCTTCCACTAGACTGGGTTGCTCAAAGCCTCATCCATCCTTGGCCATGAACACTTCCAGGGGTGGGGCAGGCACAATTTCTCTGGGCAACCTGTTCCTCACTACCCTCACTTCAGCAGCATACTTTGTTTGAACTCTAGTCTTCATAATCAGTTTGTTCTTGCTAATCTCTAATCTCTGTTACGTTCTACTAACAGTATGGGAATTGATGGTTACCCAAGAAATACCTTTTATATTCAGTTTTCTGGTTAAAATGACATTTAGAATTTGGGACTCTTAGCATCACCAAATCATCTAGATTTTCTCTTTGTGGTTTAATATTGTCCTGAAAATAATGAAACTTAATCTGTATAACAGGACAATTTGAGATATGGTGAGCAGCCATAATTGTTCTTCTAACAGAAGAACAACTATCTTTCATCAGTGGCTCAGGGATGTTGCCTCTGCATGGATAGCTAGTTCACAGCACAGGTGGAAGTTAATTTGCCTTTGTTGTCCCTTGGAATAAAAAAGCAGGGAGGGAGACAATTGCTGCCGAGCAGCAGAAGCACTGCAATGTGCTTGTTGCACAGTGACGTCAAATCAATGAGCTCTAGACCCGTTCATTTCTATTTTAAGGATTTCATATGGGGAGTGTGCTGGCAATTTGGTTTGATGTTTGTATTGCAGGAGCTACTTTCTAAGGCTTAGAGAGAGATACCAACTGTGTTGTGTGTTATTTTATCAGCTCAACTCACAGTTTTTTAGAGGAAAAAATAATAGGATCTTTCACTACCTTAAACTTATAGTAAGCAATTAATCTAGTTCTCTGGAGGAGGTCATAGAGAAACTAGATGAGACACTGACTGAAGTTTATATTTCTTTTACTGATTAGTCTATTTAGTGAAAAACCCCAGAAGGTAAGATCACTGAGCAAACCGGGTAGGAAATTTCCAGTAAAGCTCCTGATGATTCTGCTGGTCTTGTGAGAACCAATTGACCAGCAGAATTGGTGACTTCTCTCACATTATTTCCCCTCATCTACTCCTCCTTAATAAGCATTTCAAAGATTTGGATAAAAATATTTAGTATATTGAAAGTGCAAGTTAGAATACAGGGTTGAGAAATACATTAATGCAAGTTCTGATGTTTTAAAATATACCAACCAGTAGAATTCCATAAAAAAATATTATATATTGAAATTTCTGTAATTCAAACCACCTTATTGTAATGCCACTTTGTGTCAAGTGTTCCTTCCCTCTGACCTCATTAGGCGTGCCTCGTCATTAGATACACTGTTACTAAAGAGTTTTAACTTAAAAGCTGCTTTGATTAATGCTTGGTTGGACTGAGGATTTATTGTGTAGGATTAACTAGATTTAAAAATGGCAAAATGCCATAGTAACTTTAATGCCAGACTTTAATGAGAAGCAGTAGTAAACTCCAAGGAGCCTTATGATTTTTAATATGGACTAAACTCATGTGCTTATTACCTTAATGTCCTGTCCTGTTTTATATACTAGTACTCCAATAATTCCTAGAGAATAGTAGCCTAGAAAGTGTATTACAAATGCATAATCTGAAGTATGTAGATATCTTTAATGAATCATAAATGTTGATAATTTTATAATCAGATTTATTCAGTATTATTATCAAATAGAGAAAAACTCTTTGCACTGGTTTGGGCCTTTTTAATTAAGAAACAATATGGAAATAAGACAAAACCAGACTGGCAAACATTTTTCCCAATAAATAATGTACTAACAATGTAGATTAAAAATGCATTTTCACATTTTTGTGTAATGTGCTATTCGAATTTCTTTTTACTGTCTTCTTAAGTTCATTAAGTGCTCCTGAAAGTTTATAAAGTTGGCGCTTCTAGAGTTTAATAACCTTATTTTTTTACTATTGATCACATATTTTAGTATATGATACTGCCAAGAAAATCCAGACCATTCTCACATCCGACAACATTTGGTCGTCTCCTTAAATCCTACTAGACTTGATAGGATTTAAACATATACTTAAAAGGTAATGCACTGCTCAATGAGGGCCTTTGTATCTGACATTTTTTCTGTCCATGCTATCTTTGCTAAGATAACCAAAGGGCACTGATTTATTATTAGAGCTAAACAGGAAAAACTTTCTCATTCAAAAAGCTTGTAAACTTTTTTTTTCTGAACTGATGGTGATTTCCCAATTTTGTTTATTTTTCAGTGAACTTTCAATAGCAGAAGCATGTAATTAAATTTTTGTTTCTGCACAGTTATATACTGTGAGAATTAGGCACAATGTACTAATAAGCAATATCAAGAGTTCTGGTACTGTCTTTGCCAAAGGAGGTAGGATGCCATCCAACCAAGTTCTTGGGCTCTAATGCCAAATTTCTCATTGAAGTCACAGATGTGTTGGACATGACTTAAATAGGATTACTCACTCAAACAAATTTACACAAGGGTCTAAGGCATATATCCAGCTTCCAGTGGGTAAGGAGCCTGCATTCTCATTTGGCTCTGGGCCTTGGGCACTTGCATAACGTTGCTTGTGTAACTTACCCTGCCAAAAATGAAACCTGCATCAACATGGTTACTCATACCAGAAAAATTGTGCCTGTGGACAAGTGATGACAGTCGGGGATCCTGCTTCCTTTTGTAACACACTGAAAACTTCTGTTTTCACTGACGATTAAAGCTCTTTAGCCAGCATTACCATTGCAGTCCCTACTGATAATTTCTCTTCCACTGAGTTGTTTTTGTTGGGTTTTTTGGTTTTTTGTCACTTCTGGATTCTTTACTTGACTCATTGCTATTATTTGTTTTTTCTTCTTTTTTTTTTTTTTTTTTTTAGGGAGAAGGCCAGCAAAAACGAAGGACAAAAAAAAGAAGAAAAAGAATTTGATGGAAAGGGCTCAGAAGCAGCACAGCATCTTTTTAGCAACAGATAAAACAAGCCAGTAAAGACTTGATTTTCCTTAATGTATTTTTTTTTTGCAAAGTGCACAAAAGCTGCTATAACCTCCTGCCCGTGGATGCACTACAATTCAGCTGCTTTGACAGTATTGGTGGCAAATAACTTGTGAAAATAAAGCCCACAAGCTTGTTTGCTTTATTTATATATTTTTAATTTTATATTTTCCTGTCATTTTTGACCTGAAGACTTCAAGGTCAGGAGTGCACTGAGTTGGATCAGTGGAAGTGGTCCTGAAGTGCATCAGCGACATTGTTCTGAGTGCCTGGTCAACATGTTGGCAAGGAAAGAAACCTACACAGCACCAGTAGGTGGACCTGTGCATATTTAAATAAGCAGGGGGAAAAGGAAGTCTTGGAGGTGCAGGTACAATTGGATTTATGGCCTTTGTTTCCTATATTTGTACATTTCAAGAGTAAATGGATATGACTTACCTACTGAGTGGTAATGTACATTGTTCTCACACTTGCTACGTCGACACAGTTGTGAAATAAAACTGCTTTAAGACAACATGCTGCAGGATTCACTGCTCAGACTCACCCAAGCACAACAGGCTGTGTGTACATAGTACTCTGTCTACATATAAATGAACATATTTACTGTACATCTATGCATTTTTATGTATAATACTTTATACATGTTTAAAGGTATGTTCTGTTGGTTCTAGTAATGTACTTTAAATAATCCAGTAAATGTTTACTTTTTGCTATGTTTTAACTATTTTATCATGTTTCTCAATAGTTACAAACTGGATTTTTTTTTCTCATTTGCAAGGCACACATTTGCAGAACTACCTTGCACTGACCCTCACAATGGAGTGTCAGCTCTGAAGTATAATTGCCAGACTAGTAATCCACAAATTCTTTCTGGAATTCAGTACTTCTGTCTTTGCCCCCATGTATTTTGTCTCAGAAAGAGAAGTTTAATGTTTTTTAAGACGAGGCATGATGATGATAGAAGTTTTGAGTGTCAGGAGAGAAATTACTTGTAAAGTTCTTGGTATCTAAGACTGTATATGTAGTTTGGGATTTTTTTTTTTCCCCAATGTAATGCAGCGTTTTATTTCAGTTAGTCCTGATGCAGTCAGATAAGAAAACAAATAATTTTTCTCCCTGAATAAGAGAGAAACAAAATAAAGGTCATGTAAGGTCAACCATTCAAAAGTATAGAAAACACCAATTCCCCAGTATTGCTGATTATTTGTAGAAGCTTGACAAATTTATTCTGCAGCTGTTGTTTGCTTTGGGATATTTTTTGGGGGGAAGAGGTAATTTTCTGTGTAGGACATTAAAATGGCACAGGATATGTAATTTGGTAATCTAGCATTATTGGGCTAGCATTCAAGGTGATTTTTGGAAACCTGACAAGGAAAGCCTACACTAAAATGACTGTCACTTAAGAGAAATTATTTCACTTTTAGACCTAAAACTTGCATACGACCTACACAAAAAAAATGAAGCAGCAGAACAAACCCCAGATCTCCACAAACCTCTTTTTGACATATACTTTAGAATAATCCCACAAATTCCAGTTTTAGTTTGATGGGGCTTATGTTTTTCAAATAAACTAGGGAAATAAAGCATCTGTAAGCACAAATATATCTGCATTTAGCTATGACAAGTGTTACTACCAAAATGTACATATGTTAGACACATATGAATGTTCCATCAAACTGCTTGTGGACTTCCACTCAGCTGTGAGGTTTTCACTGTATGTTCATATTTACCTAGAACATAATAAAGTTACAGACAGTAAGATTGCTCTAATCCTGGGATGCTATTTTGGACATAAAATGCTCACTTAAAAAAAAAAGAAAATAAGAACTGTAGCTGTCTGTCTGCTTATTGGTTATCAAATTTGGCTGTAAGTTCAGTTATGCCCTCATACAAGCCTTTCAGTAGTGGTTACAAATATTGTATTAGGCATGTCATGGAAAGAATGCTTCAAAATACAATAAAATGGTGTCACAAACTCCTGAGTAAAATATTTTTGGTCCTTTTAAATTCAAATAGCATATTCTTATGGAATTTCATACATGTAGAAAAATTGCAGAAGGTAGGGAGATGCAGATTTTCTTGCACTGGAGTAAAAAATGTGAGGGTTTTCCATACACCTATTTTGTTTGAAAAGACCCTGAACATTAGATATACATTGATTTCTCCTGTACCACTCACCTTCACACCAAGAGTTTTCTTGGGAGTGTAGAATGAAAAAAAAATTGTCCCTAAGTAGCCCTCTGTAGCTCCTCCTTTGTCCTGGACATCCTGCCTGTGTGTGGTGGACCCTGTCAGTGTGTTCATAGCCCTGGGGTTTTGTAGGATCACACTCTGGAGGTTTGAAAGGAGGGTTCCTTGGACATTAGGAAAATGCTTTGCACTGAGAAGGTGTTTGGTCACAGGCTCCTCAGGGAAGGGGTCATGGCACCAAGCCTGTCAGAGTTCAAGGAGTGTCTGGACAGTGCTCTTAGTAATATGGTTTAGTTTCAGGTACTCCTGTGAGGAGCAGGGGTTGGACTTGGTGATCCATATGGGTCTTTTCCATCTTGATATATTCTATGATTTGATGAATCTATGACCTTGAGAGAGCAGCTAGTCAAAATATTTGCTTGAAACAGGGCTACCTTGAAGTTATCTTCAGATACTGTTTCTTGATAATGTGCAGAAGATCAGGTTTTCAAAGCTGGATAGCGTATAAACAGACTGTGCCCACTGTGGCTCTTATTTCATTTAAATTTGATCAGAAGTGAACTCACAAAGATCATATTTCTTTTCCAGTATGCAATGGACCAAGTACAAATGCCACCTTTTCCCTCCTTTCCTAGCTGTTACTGCTTTTTGAATGTTTCTCTCAAACAGCAGAAGGTTTCAGAGCAGTGTAACTTTTGTGTTCACAAGGCTTTAATGCCCTAGTTTAACAATTCACTATTGGAAAATTATTTCAGACTACAAAAAATTCAAATTAGGAGGACAAAGAGCTTCATATGCTATAGTCATTGGTTTTAAAACGCCGTTATGTTGCTATGATGAGTAGAAAGTGCTTTTTCAAAACCATATACACTATTTTATATCTTATTCACATGTCCCAGAAAAGAAAATTGCCTAGTGCACTGTGTATTTAGGAGCTATCTATTCTCAGTTTGCCTTAGCTTATCCTGGCCTCCTAATATCTGTCTCTAAATTAAAACAAAACAAAAACAAAACCAAAGCAAACAGAAAAAGAAAAAGAATAAATAAAAAAATACCCTAGATGTACCTTTAAAGCAATTATTTTGTGGCTGAGTCATCTTTATTGCATCTCAGCTACTCTTGTTAGTGAGAAATTATTGTTATATGTCTCTTTGTTTATTCCTGGGGGAAAAAACCAATGTTGCATTCCACATTATGGTAATGCAAACCTTCCATATTCCGAATGTCAGAGTACGGACGCAGTTCTCTTACACTTGTATATATATATAGATAGATAGATAGATATCAGCAAAGGAATATAAAGATATCAGCAAAGGAATAGTGAATAGTTATAGAGCTTACATGATGCGTCTTCATTTATCAGAATGAGTTACAGAAAATTGCAGAGCAGAAAAAAAAATAGATATTCATCCATGTTAGCTAAAAACAAACCAAAGATCAATTAAGTGCCATGTTAATTTTTTTAAACAAAAATGTTGCTAAAATCCAGATTGAAACCATAAAATGAGAAGACAGATCTTTTCCAGACAGATTAAAATCAAATTCAGTGCTTCAGCTTCTTTATGCTGATGAAATAGAATATAGAATAAAAATAGCCAGATATTTCTGGCACAAGTGCCATGCTTTTTTAAGTGGGTGATGTTACTGAAGGCTGATGCTGCCACTTAGCAGAGGATATGAGAGTTTTGAATTCAAACTCTCTCTTTTCACCAACAAAATGTATTTGTCTTTGGACACCAGTCCACTTTCACATCCAATGGTGTAAGCCAGCATGAATTCCAGTAAGCTCTAGACTGAAATTATTTTGGACTGACATCAAGAAGAACAAAATGTACCCTTCTGAAAGTGTAACCCAGAAACCACTGTCAGCTTTTTGTTTAGTCCTTTACCGAAAGCTCTGTGCTGAACCTGGCATTGTTTCTTTTATGAGAAGCCTCAGCCTCAGGACTGAGGAAAGGACATTAACTTTAGGAAGTATTAGAGCAGTCTGACCTGCAGGACATCTGGGAGAAGAGCAGCCCAGTATTTGAAGTGCAGTTCCTCTCAGAAGAGAAAAACTTTAAGAAAAGTGTGACTAGAGAGAGTGTCCAAAGTGAGTCCAGCCTTTAGTCCATTGCCAAACTCTTTCAGACTTCAACTGATTTTTTTAAATGCAAACTAGTTCTGTTTATGTCTAATAAACATATGTCTTCAACCCCAGTGAAGCTGTATGCTTTCTTAAAGGGCCAGTAATATATTCCTGGTTGTGCCAGCTGCAAAAATGCCCCCAGCTGCCTTGTTTTCAAATTGTGTCTTGAGTGACACTCGTGTCACACTTGATTTTAATTGGGCAATACTGATGAAGCTAACTAACAGTTCATAGACCACAAATGAATAAACACTAAAAATGAGGCTGCTTTGTTCTACCCTGTGAATTTCTATTTTCAAAATAGAAATTCAGCTCAAGAAAGCAAACATGTCTTGGCTTGCAACTGTATCTTAGCTTCCCTTCAGACTTTAAGGGGGTTTATGAGAAAGATAAGAGTTTTGGGGGTTTAGTTGGGGCTGTTTCGTTTTATTTTTTTTTTCCTGATATCCTCCTTTTTTATTTAAATTTATTTATTTTAAATTTTTTCTCTCAGAAACTGCAGTGAGACTTCCTCTTTGCTTTCTGTTTCTGAGTGGACTTGGTTGCCATCTACAGAAGCTAAGGGCCACATCTGCAAGGGGGCTCCTGATATTTGCTCTGGAATTGTTTCAGTCTTTTATTTAATTGTCTTGTGGTAGGTACATGAAAAGTCTCAGGCCCATGGAGTGCAGCCACAGGATTTCTCTGTCACGACCTGGTGCTCTCCTTTTGGCCTCATGTTCCTTGTTATGCAGTAGCCTGGCTTCAGCAGGAACAGTGAACAGTTTTCTACCAT